TCTAGGTGAGCCATAACCACTCCTGTTGATTTAAATTGCAGATAAACTAGTCTGAGCTTCTACTCTTTTATAATATTTTTAAAAGTAAATTTATACTTTATATAAAAATTTCAAATAAATATTCAATAAAGATAGAGACATGGCTTTATCATTAATATTAAAAAAAAAAGTTATAAATAATAGTAAATTTAATTTGGTTAGACACTTTTAAAATAATTTTTTTAAATAAAGTAGTTATTTGAATTTTTATAAAAGCTATAATGCTCTTGAAAATATTTATATAGCATTTAAAGCTAAGTGCATTTTTGAAATTACAAGTGAATAGATATCTTAAAGTTTTATAAAGTAAATAAGAAAAGTTATTTTTTTTTAGACCCTTATCAAAAGGAATGCTAGTTGAAGTACTTTATTTAGCAATAACAAAAACTAAAATTATTATTTTATAATATTTATATTATTAAAATTGTTCATTATTGACTCTATCTATAATTACTCTTATAAGGCTCTTCTTTACTATGTTTAATTATGCATCAGCCTTTGAAGTATCATTTTTCTAACCTTATTTTAGTAATTATTGAATCCAGGACTTTAATTTCTTTATATATTCTGTTCTTGCCTACATGAAAAAGCATCAGGTAGAAAATGTATTTATCTTTCCATCTTTTTATTATATAACAAAACCAAATTTCATAAACAGTAATGATGTGAAGCCACCTTGCTGCAGTTTTATTTTTCTTATTATTTATATTTGATGCTATAAAAATTTCCTTTAATGTTTTGGGAGGTAATTCTGAAAGTGATTTTTTTAGTAAACTATAAGCAGTGTTTCAGATAACTTTACTATTAGCATACTTTATTTCAAAATGTTCTGATGTTTGTTGTCCATCTGAGCAGATAACACAAATCTTATTTCCATTTATATTAAAGTGTTTTAGTCTGTACTCAAGAGGTAAAACTCTATGCTAAAAGCACAAAAATCTTTCATATTTGTTGACTATTCTTTTTAATTTTATTCACTTCTATTGATAGGCATTCACATTATTATGTTTAGAGAGCCTTTGTAAGACTGTAAGCTTTAGTGATTTTTTTCTCAAAAAATCTATCACTTTATTTATCAAGTACTCTGACCCCTTTATGTTTACCATTACTATGTTATTTGAACTCCGATGCCAGTTTAGCATAGTAGAACAAATCTTTCTCTTGAAACATTTCTATGCATTAATATACTGTTTTCATCTTTCTGGCCATGCCTTGTTTTTTTTTGTAAAAAGTTGAGTACTGTTTTAACTAAGATCTCTCTTTTACACCTTATCAGTTTTCAATTTTCTTCCTTTCTACCATGGCTTAACAATTATTTTTGGTTAACAATCTAAGCCAAATAAATGCCAATCTGGCATTTAGAAGATTCTTTAAAATTGGAGCCTTAAGACCTTTTCATTCCTGATTATGTTAGAATATTGAAAATCTTGATAGCAATTGTGCTTTATTTTTAATTCAGAACACCAAAAGGTTGTCAAACATGCCTAGTTGTTTTCTAGTAGATGGCATTAAATATGTTAAATACCAAATTTTTGAGATGAGTAGAGAATTGTTAACTAGAATTCTGCCTTTCAGAGTAAGGTTACATTGTAACAGTTCTTTTATTATATTTCTTAGTTTTTATAACATCTCTAACTATGCGTTTTTTTCTAACTCCTTTTTTATTGCAATATTGTAGCCCAAAACTATGATAGTATTATCTTCTAATAAGGTATTATATTCTAAAACTATTCCTTTATATGTTCTAGCATTGGCAGTCATTGGTACAAGTATTGACTTGGTTTTGTTCACCTTAGCATTGGACACTATTTCATATTTTTGTACTAGAATAATGAATCTTTCTTAATCATTACCAGAACCCAGTCCTATCATAAGGTTGTCTGTATAGACAGTAACCTAACATCTTTGTTTTTGTACTGGTATACCTTAAAATTCTTTGTTAAGTACTTTTAAAAAGAATTAAATGCAAGAACATATAATAAAAAAGAGAGTAGGTCTTCTTGACAAACTTCTCTCTCTACTCTAAATGGCTCTAACAACATTCCTAAGTCTGTAATATATGCTACTTGTCTGTCAAATAAAGAGCTAGTTAACTTTATGAATGTTGGACTAAAGTTTATTTTTTTCAGAACCAATTTTAGTATTACAGAGTTGTAGCCTTCTTGGTACAATACAACTAAGTAACAAGGTTACCTAGTACAGTGATTGACTATTGCAAATATATACAGGATGGAGGTGTAGTAGTTCACTTTACTACACAGCAGCAACCAAACAGTTCAAGATAGTAACAATATATATATTAACTTTTATTAAATAAACACACAGTGACAACCTTGCCTATAGAAATTACCTTAGAGAGAGAATATCACTTTTACAAGTTAGAGATAAAGGTAGAATGGTCTAGGTTGAAGTATAGAAACTTAGAATTGGCAAGAAAGAGTAAAAGCTACCCTTTATATATCTTTTTATCTAGGGGGGATAGGTGGGGATTTGAGCAACATTGCTTGATACTGTACTCAGGGTAATGGGGGTTTAAACAACATTAGATATCATTGTAGTTGGGATAGTGAAGGTTTGAACAACATTAAATAATACTGTGCTTGGAGTAGTAGGGACTGTGCAGAGGCAACTGTAGATATTGTTTATATCATTTGTCATTCATGCTTGAAACACTTAGGGCTTGTGTTTAGACACTTGAATCCATGCAAAGGCACTTGGAATTTGTGCAAGGATACTTGGAGTTTATGCAGGAACACTTGGAGTTCATGTCAGGAATACTTGGATTTCTTGTGCTGTAGCACTTTGTACAGTAATTTGGTGCTAGGATACATGAAACTTGTACAAGGGTACTTGGGATTTGTAAGATGATAATAACATTACAGATGTTACTCAGTGTCATGTGGCTGTACCACATTGCTAATAGCCAATTAAGATCCTTTTTATTTATCTATTATATAATATAACTATCGACTAACTAATAACTAATAACTAATAATAATAAATATAAGATATAAAATACAATAAGAATATATATAACTACTAATGCTATTTATAATATACTATGCTAAAATCTACTTTGTAACATTAGATACTCATAATTAATATGGTCAAAGGCCTTTTTCTTAATCCAATAACAGTATCTATTTCTGTTTAGACTGATCTTTTTGACTCTTTATTGTTATAATGATATCTAGTACAATATTCAGAATAGATCTGTATTTTATAAAATCTTGTTAATAAATATCTATAATATTTTAACATATTGAATTTAAATGGTTTGCTATTATTTTTAGAAAAATTTTTTTATCTACATTGATAAGAAATATAGGTTGCCAGTTGTTCAGATTATCTAAATTATTCACTTTTTTCAAGATCAGTATAATCAGATTTTTGCATCATAAAGCTAAAATAGAACCAGAAGATAAGGTATTATTGAACAGCTTTTCAAGAAGTTTGCTTATTTTATTTTTAGTTTCTTTGAAAAATTCATATATAAGTCCATCTATACTAAGAGCTTTATTATTTAGAAGGTTTGTTATAACTTGCTTGATTTCTCTTTGGAAATTTGCTTTATTAATGTTTAGTTGTCTTCTTTTAAGAGTTGTATTAGATTTTCTGTGAGCTCTGTGGCTTCTTCTATATTTATAGAATCTGAGTAATATAGGTTTGCATATTGCTCCTTGATCTAATATAGAGATTCATCTGGCATTTGTCTAGCACTTGTATTTTTGCCTTTAATATTTTCAGTGGATAGAGTTGCTTTTCTACACTTGTATCTTAAGAAAAAGTATCAAGTAAACCTTTTATACTCCTTAATCCATCTAGCTTTGAATCTTATTTGTCATTTGTTAGCTATATTAAATAGTTCTTGCTCTAACTGCATGTTAAGCTGATCAACAACAATTAAGAGATCTTTATTATTTTCTTTAAGTGCAATCTTACTTTTTATATTTGTGATTTTTTATTATGCCTTTGTATGCAGTTTTCTGATAAAGGTATTACTTTTGATGCCTTATAATTAATTGTATTTTGCATTTGCAAAATTCCAATTAGCTATATTACTAACATTGTTTAGCTTCTCTATGATCTTTTTATATTGCAACTTATCTTTTAGGTGCATTTTGTTGAATTTCCAATAGGTTAATCTGGATGGTATATTGACAAATTAAAAGGAACTTTCTACAAGTAGGTGGTTAGAATTACCAAATTTGGTACAAGTTGTTTTACAAAACTGAGAATACTAGTTTTCAATAAAGATATAATCTAACCTTGTAGCTATTATATAGTTTCCATAAGTCTTTTGATGAAATATTATAAAAGGTTTCTGAGCTAGCAAAGCAGTGTTATAAAAATCTTGCATTAGTTCTTTTTTCTGTTATCCAAAGAGTCAGATTGTAGGATAGCACTACTTAACCTATCTGAACTGGGGTTTAAATTAATATTGAAATTCTTAGCAATGATATTTATAACATTTTTCTTTTAATCTTGAAGCTTATTTTGTATAAAAACTGATTCTTTCTTTTATATTTAGAGGTGCATATATATTTTCTACATTGTATAACCTTTGTTTGTATCTGAAGCTTAAATTTAATACTATACACTCTAATAATTCATAAACTTCTTTGAATTTAATTTCTGGATTTTTGTCAAATTGCTACTTTAGTCATCCAACATAAGTTATATAACTATTGTTGTTTAATTAACTTTCTAGATTTGATATCCTTTAAATTCATTTTCTGTAACATAATTATGTCTTAACTGTATGTTCTGAGTAAAATTAAAGTCTTTAAATATTTGTGTCTATTATTTAAACTCTTTATATTTAGAATTGCAATTGTAATACTATTAAGTTTATTTATAAGGAAAGTCATAATATAGTAATCTCAACTATCAATACTAAATATCTCTATCATGTTGTAAAGATCAATTTCTATTGTTCTAATCTTTTTATATAGTTTTGACTAAGCTGCAGCAGCTTTTGTTAATTTTTTGGTTTTATTTTTCTTATAAAAAACTACAGTAAATTCATCCTCAACCTCAGATTTGTTTTTTATCTCATCTTCTAGATTTTTAGCTATTATTTGTTCTTTTTTTTCATTGCTGTATCTCTAATTGAAGTGTCTTAACTTATAGATGTTGAAATTGTGTCACCTTTGACTTTTGCATTGATTATTGTTTTGAGATTTTCTTCATTCTTTTGAGATAAGATCTTCTTATTGCCATTGTTTTTTCATTTGAACTCAATACACTCTTGAATTTCAAATTACTTTTATTATTATTATTTATATAGAGATTGCCTACACTATAGTCTCTTTTTTGCTATGTAACTGTTGTTTTTTTATACCTGTTAGTCTTTAATTTCTTACAGTGTAGCCTATTATTAATTGCTTTTTTGTAGTTATCCTATTTTCAAGTGCTGGATTGTCTGTGGTTTTAAAAATTATAATCTACTGGTTTATGCATATAGGAGTGTTTTTATACACCATTGGTTTAATGGACTTAATTGTGTTAACACTATCAAATGCTTCTTAAATTTGTTTAGTAATAAATTTCTTTTTGACTATAGAAACATTTTTAGCTTTACTGCTAAGTATAACCTTCTCAAGTTAGTAAGTATGTATTCCAATAATGTTTGTTTAAACAGAATTATTTCTTTTATAGCATATTTATGTTGCTTCTCTTTATTTTCAAAAACAATTTCTAAGTAAGTACACTTTTCTTTAGTGAAATGTGGTTTAGCAGTTACAAAGTCATTTCTAATTTTAGAATATATAGTTAATATAATTTTATTAAGAGATATGCCATTAAGGCATTGTATATCAAACATAACAGCATTGTTATTTTTGTTATGATGTTGCCTCTTGAGGTGTATTTTGAGAATGTGACCTTACCTCTTCTTAGATGTATGAATAGATTAGGCCACTTCCATGTTACTGTACCTAAATTCTGTATATCTTTTTTCTCTTGTTATTTGTCCTTAGTTATAAATTTGCTTTCTTGTTTAGTAATTTTAATGTTATTGAACTAACTACTGTCTTTCTCTGCAATATAGAGATCTGTTGAGTACTTATATTTAGTTGACTTTAGATTATTACTAATTATGTTACTTGATTTACTATTATTATTATTTCTAGCAACTTCTATAGCAATACCTGTTAAATTATTTAAAAATGCATCAATGACTTTTATCTGCTTGTTTAGTTGGTTATTAGAAGTGGTCCCTGTAGTTGAGACCCACTCTTCTTCTATTATGTTAGACCTGGTTTTAGAGTCATTAAAAGATATATTTTCTATACACATTGCAGTTTTTAAGTGTTTAGTTGTGTTTTTCAATAAGTGGGTTGTAGGTCCTCTTTGTGATCTGTTTATTTTAGGCATTTCTTATTCTTTTTACAGACTTTTTCAACACTAACTCAACTCATCTTCTTTTTTTAGAAACTAGAACTAAGGCTCTTGCTAGTTTGAAACCTTGGCTAGAAAAAATAACTCTTTAAAAATTTTTTTTTATTTTGCAACACTCAAAAACTGTTACCAGATTGAGTATTGGTTAATCAAGAAGGGTTTTAAAAGGTAGTAGATTAAAATAATTGAATATAATGCATTTGAAGTTATAATATTTACATAGTTTTTGTTTGTATTTTGCTAAATATAGTAAAACAGATTTATTAGTAACTAAAAACAAAGTACATGTTTCTGAATTTAAATATTTGAATTATCTTTAGTAAAATAATTAAACTTGCAAAATGTTATTATTAACTTGACTAAAAAAATAAATTTTACAGAAAACTAAATATAGTATTTTGAGTATATTTTTAGTCTTTAATTAAAAGTAAAAAGAAAACTATTTCTTTTATATTTAAGTCAATTAGATCTTATAATATTAAAAGTAGAATAAGAAGTAAAATATATAATTTATTAAAAAGTTTATATATTTTTTTAAAAATAAGAAAACAAAAAATTTGTGCTAATTTAAGATAATAAAATATATGTTATATATATTTATAAGGACTAGTTATACAAAAATTTAAAATGCAAATATAATCTAATATAAGTTTGATTTTGAGTTTTTGTATATTTTTTTTTCACTTAAGTAGTCATGCTTGTGTACTTTTATTAAAAAAATATTAATACTGCTACCAATACTATATGCTTAATTTCTTAGTTCCAACTCTCTCAACTGCTTCTTTAAGTGCCTAGGAGTAACCTACTGCACTAGGCAGTAACAAGTTACTATCTGGAAGGTTATTTCCAACTACTACTCTATAATAGAGTATTATTAAACTAATAACACTTTCTTATAGAAAAGTAAAAAAAAACACTAAACTAAACTAAAAAAGATTACAAGAAAAAAAATAAAAAATAGAAATGTAGTGATCTAATAAAGTGGTCAGATTGTCAACCCTCCAAGTTATAGATTGAGTGTTCAAATCCTATCAATGATGAAAATTTGGATAATTACCTATGTAATATTTATATTATGCCAATTATTACTAACAATTAGATTAGATACCTGTAATGGCAGTTGTAACAGCATGACTGGCAGGTTATGAGTCATCTGTATAAGTATGGTGTTATATAAAAGAATGCAAACCAACAACTCAAACAGTGCAAATACTAGATAAGTTTTTGTGGCCATGTAAATCCATTGAAATTGAGTAACAAGAAGTCCATTTGGAAAGACCTAAGTAGAAAGGTAACTGGATCTTTAATGGCTCTACTGTAAAGGCTAGTCTAAGAAAATTGATACCAAGGTCATAGTATCTAGTCATAGTAGCTGGATAGGCAAGAACCTCCAGGTTAGAAGTCTCAGAGGTACCATCAATCAGGCTACCAAAATAAACTGAAGAAAAAGAATATTGTGCCAATCTGATATACTGATGGACTAGTCATAGTCCTACATAGGCTATCTGAATTCAGAATTTGGTAAAAAAGTAGATGAAAAGTTATAGGTATACTAAACTATTAGGGTTATGCTGTAAAGTAGATGCTGGAGTCTAAGTGAACTCTATAAAGGCATAGTAGTTTAATAGTTAAGCCCTAACTGCAAGTATTGGTTCTGCTATAGCAATACCTAGATCAGTTATAAAAATAAGTATATAAGGCTCTGAGAGGTTTACCTTGAGGATAAAATAGTCCTAAGGTTAAGATGATAATCTGAACATCAGATATGATCCAATAAAGTTAACAAATTTGCAGGTTCAAAGGGTTTAAAGTAAAATACCTAAGCAGAAGTATTAGGTACAACAATTGGTTAAAAACCTTCAGAAGAATTCCTTAAATAAATAATATAAAAAAGTTACATGTATAGCCAATTGTATGCTCTTTCTGTAGTGGTTCATTGAACTACATTTATGATTGTTAAATAAAGTTAAAAGACTTAAGATATTACCTTAAAAAAAAATAAAAAATAAAAGTGTCAGAAGGCACATCTTATTCATAACTATTTTAGTAAGATTACTAATACTTTAAACCTGTACTAAGGATCTAATTACACTTTAATCTGTGCTAAAAGGTAAAAATTTCATATACATAATTCTAGGAATTACTATATATCTCTAATTTACTATAATCCTCTAACTTAAATTCTTCTTCATTTCTTCATTACATTATATATTAGGCTGTACATATGATTGTTGTATTTCTATTATATCATGTTATAACACATAACTGTTTGAAAAAAAAAGTGATAAACAATGCCAATCTTTTGTATAAAAAAAGCCAAATTCCTTACTTTTAGATAAAAAAAATAAAATAGATAAAAAAGATTAATAAGCATAATATGTAAAGAGCCAAACTAAAGATAGTGTTTCCAGCTGTTTGTTCTGTTTTCAAACTTCTAATAACCTTTAACCAGAGTTTTCTCTATTCTTTTCAGAATTTCCTTCTGGTTTGAATACTAAACATATTGAGGAGCTGCTTACAAAAAAGTTTAACCTAGACACAAACTATCAGAAAAGTTACCTACACTTCAGTTTTTTTATATATTTCTAGTTTATTAACAATAATCTGTTTTATATATTAAAACAGAATCAAAAATATCATCTACTTAAAAACAGAATCAAAAATATCATCTACTTAAAAACATAACTCTTTAAACTGTTTTGGTGATAGTTTGGTTTAAGTAATCATTAGAAAAAGTTTTTAATTAGTTTTTTACATATTTGAGTCTTATTAATTTGCTAATTAAAATGATATTATATTATTTTTTATATTTTTTGAGAGTGATTTATTAAAGAAAATTAAATTTTTTTGATATTAAGAAACTGTGTTTTTTGTTTTTATAAAAAAGTAACCATAAATAGTATTAAAATAATCAAATTTTTAATAAATAGTATATAGAATATTATAGTTGGTAAGAAGAATTTGAATTTTATAAATACCTTTAATAACCTTAAACTTAATATTAATTATATTAATTTTATATATTAAACAGTTATTAAATACTCTTTATATATATCTTTTATATTTTTTAATATTATTATACACAGTTCTAGTATTTTAAAAAATTTTTAACTAAATAATTGTATTTATAAACCTCAAAGATATATTTATCTAACTTTACAAATAATAAATTTATCTTTTATACTAATAGTTCTGTTATTAATATTGAATTAGAACAATATTTTATAGATATATTATCTAATTAATTATAAGATTTTAATAAGTCTTTCAAATTTAGTATATTATTTTTATAGCATATCTTTTTTAATATTATAAACTCTTTTAATTTTTAAATTACCTTTTATAAAGTTTAAGTCTATACCAATAATTCTTTTAACAAACTTGCAGACTTTTTAGCAAAACAGCATACTTTTTTAATTTTTTATCTTTAATTATATTAATATTTATAATCATTATTATATTTTATAACAGAAACAAAACTTTATTAAATTATTAACTAAACATTTTATTAAAAATGTATATAAAGCATATATATTGATAGTGTTGTCACATCTACTATGTCCAAAATTTATTTTGACCATTCTTATCATTCAAATGTTTATATATTTAAGAATATTTACAGTATATACAAGCTTTAAAAATTAATATATTAAAATTTTTTTTTTTATTAAAGGCTATACTTGTGATAATACTTTATTGACTTTTATTAAATTAGCTATTACAACTATTTTTACAGAGATAAGAGTACAACTAGTCACATATATAACTTTTGGTTGCGTATTTAAATAGTCTATTCTAAGGTTTTCACTAGATGCTATACCTATAACCTATTAGGAGATTATTCATTTAAACTCTCTGATCATCCATTCTGTTATAATGTAATCCCAACTTATTTCCTATATATATCTAACTGGTATACTGTTTAAGCAGTATGGTACCTATCTATTTTTGTACTAGTTTTCAGAATGTTATATATTTTAAAGTATGTCATCTGCTAGTAAGGTGCATAACCTCTTATTGTTAACTATCTATTCACTTTTAAAACACTAACAAAAGCTACTCTTACAGAGTTTATCCAGACCCTAGTACTGACTTCACAGCATATCTCTAGTACTTTTAGTATACTCTTGCTTTGACCTTAAACTCCTAATTCAAATAGCTTAGAAGGACTATGATTTGTTTGTAATATATTAAGGCTGACTCAATATTCTTTTTCTTTGATCCAAAATCCAGCAGCCTGGTTGGTAGTACTCTCTTCTAAAATTCTTGTCTACCTGATTTTTCCACATTAGTATTCATTTCTTAGGTTTAGCCTTTACAGTAGTACTGTCAAAGATCCATATTACCTTTTTGTTCAGAATTTTCAAGTAAGCTTTAGCTTCCCAGTTTTATGAATTTACATGGCCTAAGAATTTATTTTAGGCTTGTACTGCCTGGCACCAGTTTGCATTCCTCTGTATAACTAAGGTTACACATATGCCTTAGACCTGCCAGTTATACTGATACAACTATAGTTATAGATATCCTATTCTAACTGATCAACAGAATGCTGTTATTATAATACTGTCTATATATTATATAGTAATTATTCAAATTTTGCTGTTGGTGGGTTTTGAACTCACAACCTATCACTTGGTGGTATGACAACTTATTCACTTTACTAAGTTGCTATATTCTAATATATTAATTTAAAAAATATATAATTATATATTTTTTATAATGCTGAATATACTTATTTAAAAAGTTAAAATAGATTAACTTAAGAAAATTTTAAGTAATTTTAATTTATTTATTTGTTTAAAAAATGTCCAAAAGTATTCAAACTATGTTTACAGCTATTCTGTGACAACACTACATATTGGTAATATAATCTTTACAAAAAAACCAATAAATAAACATATCTAAACTACCTTATAAACTGGATCTCTTTTTGGCTTTATCTTAATTATAACTAAAAACCTATATCTTTTTATATA